GCCTCTCTCCCCTTCCTCTCTCACTCTCCCCCTCTCTCTGGCTCTGGTTCTCCTTCTGTCTCTTCTCTCTCTGCATCTCCCTTTCTTTCTGTCTCCCTCCCTCTTTTCCTCCTTCTCCCCTTCCTCCCTCTCTCCTTCCCCCCTCACCTCTCTTTCCCTCTTCCCCTTCCTGTCTCCCTCTCTTCATCTTCCCCCCAACCCCCCTTTATGCTTTCTTTTCTGTTTCCCATTTTTTCTTCTTTTTTTTTTTATTTATTTTATTTTGTCTTTTTGAGGCAGTGTCTTCCTGTAGCCCCAGCTGGCCTGGAACTCACTTTGCAAACCAGGATGGCCTGGAACTCACAGAGATCCACCTGCCCCTGCCTCCCGAGTGCTGCTGGGATTACAGGCGTGCACCACCACGACCGGCTCCTGTTTCCCATTTTTTCACGACAGGATTTTGTTGTTTAACCGAGGCTGGCCTCAATCTCACTATGTAGCCTAGGCTGGGCTCAAATTTATGACTCTCGTGCCTCAACCTCTGGAGCACTGCTGTTATGGGTGTACCACTAGACCCACATCCTTTTCCTCTATTTCTCTTACGATGAAAACTGCTGTTTTAAGGCCTGGTTATTTTGGGATCCTGCTGAGAGTGCATAACTTGACGATTTGATACGTGGTATGAAGGTTTTCCCTCTCTGTCAAGGTTTTCCTTCTCTCGCCAGGTCTTGGATTTCAACCCAGGCCTTCAGGTTCCAGTGCCACCATCTGCAATGCTAGTTTTGTTGCCAGCAGCTCCCAAGGAGGGGGAGGAGTTGTGCCTGTCTGGGTGGCTGGGATTTTGGCATTCCTCAGATCATAGCAGGTGGGCCTCTGTTCCCACACCTGAAGGTGCTGCTTTCTTACCTGGACGTGCTGCCACACCCTGCTTTGTTATGCTTTCTTCCTCTGTGGTGCCAGCACAAGAACTCCGGGCCTCAACTCTACTGGACCAGTGCTCTACTGAGCCACAACCTCACCCTTTCAGTGCCCTACTTTAAAATACCATATACTTTATGCAATTGTTAATTAACAGCATATTATAACAATAATTTTAATTACTAAAACTTCTGGAAAGGCGCCATGAGACAAAGCACTATGTGACTGGTCAGTATGGATGCCACCATGGCAGCCTCCTAAGAAACTATTTAAAATTCTTTTCTAATTTTTAAAAAATATTATTTTTATTTTTATTTTTGTATGAGTGTCTTGCCTGCATATGCATAAGTGCACCCATGTTGTGCAGTGCTGCCGGAGGTCAGAAGAGGGAGGGCATCAGATTCCCCTGGAACTGCAGTTACAGACAGTTGTTAGCTGCCATGTGGGTACTGGTAATCACACCCAGGTTCTCTCCAAGAGCAGCCAGTGCTATTAACCCCTGAACCTTCTCTCTAGCCCACTTAAAAAAAAAATAATGTATTTATTTTTGTATTACGTGTTTGAGTCCTTTGCCTGCATGTAAGAGCACCATGCTCTTGGAGGCCAGAAGAGGGTGTCAGATCCCTTGGCAGTGTAGTTATGGATGATTATTAGCCTCCATATGGGGGCTGGAAACTGAACCTGGGTCCTCTGCAAGAACAGCAAGTATTCTTAACCACTGAGCCATGTCTCCAGCCCAGAAACTTACTTTTGTAATGCATTTCTGCAGCTTGCAGCATAGAATCAGACCCTCGGCAAATGGAAGGTACAGGGGTGAGAATGTCACATGGCCCAGATCCCACACACTATTGGAAAATACAAGCACAAGCTTACTAAGACAACACACATGCCCTTGCACTGTATCCAGATCAGAAGTTAGAAATGCTGCCACCCTAGGCCAGTGCACATAGCTTTAGGCTCCTTGTTTTCAAGGCAGCTTCTTCTCCGGCACCCAATAGAAGCCCTTTCCAAGCATGGACTTGAGGGCAGTTGTTAGCTCACTGATGATTTTTTTATTACGTTCATTTTTTTTCTTTTTGATGGGGGAGGGGCCCTATGCCACAGCAAGAGTATGGAGGTCAGAGACCAACTTGGTTGAGTCAGTCTTCTCCTACCATGTGGGTCCCCGTGATCAAACCCCAGTCACCAGGCTTGGCAGCAAGTCCCTTTACCCTCTGAGGCATTTCGTGGGTCTTCACTGATGATTCAGTTTTAATGACAAGAACAAGAGAATCCAGAAGCTTCTTTAATACCAGCTGAGGACCCAACTTGCGTCTTCTGCTCCAAATATCACTATGAACTCTTGGAATGTGTTTCAGTGTCTTCTCTTGGCCCGCAGATTACAGGGGAGGAGACAGGTAGCAGAGGTAAGTGACCCACCCAAGGCCACATCATTAATCGGTGGTGAAGCCAGGACTTGACTTTGGGTTAATTCACTTGTACTTGCATCATACCACAATAACAGAAGCACATTGATAAAGAGATGCCCCAGACCCCTCTGTTCTTCCTTCTCAATCTTGGTGGTTGGATTTCTAGAAATAATTCAGCCAAAAGCTGCATATGCCATGCAGTTAGGACTCATCTACTAACAAATGTCAGAGCCCTACAAATAATGCAGGCTCTGCGATAGGAAGGGAAAGTGTCAAATCCCTCCTTTATAAATAAACCGCCAAATGCTTGGGAAGGATGTGTTTGGGCAGACTGCCTGTTCTTATGCCGCAGATGAGCCGAGAGCCTGACTGTGATCCCAAAGCCACTTCTGCCAGGGTAGCACTGTGCAGCCATCAGACACCACGTGTGTCTCAGGAACCGGCATTTTAGAAAACCTTTCCAGAATCATGCTGAATAAAGAGCTTTTGCAGGCTTGCCTGTAATCCTAGAGCTCAGGAAGCTGAGGCAGGAGGATCAGGAGTTTGAAGCCACCTTGGGTGACATAGTGAAACCTTGTCTGAAGGAAGAGAGGGGGAGAGAGAGAGGGGAAAGGGGATGGGGATGGGGGAGGAGGGGATGGTGAAGGGCTTTTGCATATTTCTTGTGTTTTCCTTAGGTAGAGACCTGAGAAAAACAGAAGCTATTCCTCCTCCCTGCAGGGTAATTAGAAGATGGAATTCAGCCAGGAAAACACCCTCCTACCCAGTAGAGTGATGCTTCTCAGGAGGAGCTTGGTGACTGTTTCATACAACAGAGCATCATCACTGTGTCAGTTCTGGTCCTGGCTTTGCACTTTCAGAGTCTGAGGGGAAAGGTTATTCATCTATCCTTGACCTGTAGGAGCAATGGAGAGATGAATCACTGTGAGGAATCTGGTGGACAGACAGCACCATATAAGGTGATACACTTAGATTCCAAGAATACGTACAGAGGGATAACTACTAAGATGTGTTTACACTGTTACATGGAAGTCTTCCTGTGCCTTTGAGACAGCCTTTCAAAGTGTTCCTCTTCTACTAGGCCTAGGCTTATGGGCAAGCATGTTTTCCTAATGCCATCCTATCAGACTGCCAGCATGCTGCCTGTGGCTAGCCTCCAGCATTGCTGCCACCTCCTGCTGTTTACACTCACCCACCTTGGCCATAATAACCCCAGGTGGGCACAACAGGAATAGGAAGTGAGGAAAGCATGCCCCACACCCCCCAGAAGAGGCCAAGGCAAACACATCACCCAGCTGTGGGGACAGGAAGTGGCTGCAAAGATATTCTGTGATGGTTTGGGATATTTAAACATTGTGGGTAGGGGAGAGAGAGAGAGAGAGAGAGAGAGAGAGAGAGAGAGAGAGAGAGGGTAAAAAAAAAAAATACAAACATACAAACATAATATAAAAAAAATGAACCAGAATAAAAGAAAAAAAACAAACAAAAAAAAAAAAACATAAAAAGTAACTTTGCTAACCTACAAAAATAATTTGGCCATAATGAAACAGAATAGCAGCAAAAACTTAAGCAAGAGAGCAAGAATTTGCTAGGAGCTCAGGGATGGAGTCTTCTCATTCCCAAACTGCCATCACACCAGCCACTTTCACTACCTGCCCACAGAGAAAGCTCTTTGGGCCCATTAGTTAAGCAGTGAATTAGTTTACCACTTTGCCCCTAGCATGCAGCCTGCAGGGTACTCAGAAGCCAAAAGTTATCCAGGCATCAGCCTGGGCTATATAACAAACCCTTTCATGGAAAAGAAAAGGGTGGGGGAGGGTGGAATGAGAGAAAGAAAGGCAGTAGAAAGGGAGATAAAGAAAGAGACTCATTAGGTAGCCCAGGCTGCACTGGAACTCACCATGTAGCCCACCCAGGCTGGCCTTGAATTTAGGACTTTCCTACCTCAGCCTTCAAAGCCCTGGGATTACATGTGTGCCCCCATCTCAGGAAACTCTCAGTCCTGAACAAGTTGAGTCAGCCAGTCACTCTGCAGGTGCCCCATGTTGAGCCCTTCCTTAGTACATCTCAGGGAAGAGGTAGCAAAATCTTCCCTTTGTTCTTTTTGAGGACATGTTCTTAGATAAAGCGACTGTCTTCTCATAAGGAGAGTACAATTCAAAGGAAACTGACTACTTTGATTATTCCAAGTGTTGAACCTGCATAAGAGGATAAATCCGCAAGCATTGAAAGCTGTTTGAAAACTCACAGAAGGCAAACTCATATATTTTTCGACGTTAAAATGTGTTGTTTAATGATTTGTTAGAGCAGCATTCTTTCAACTCACACTTGTTCAGAGTTTTACAACTTGTGCTTCAAGAGAACTCTTTCCTTAGAAGCGCCCGGCCAAGATGTAGCATTTGCATGTGGAATTCCTGGAAGGAAGATAAGGCCAATACACCAAAACCCCATAGTTCATTCTTACTGTAGTTACATATGAACTGTCCCCTATGGGCTCTTGTGTTTAAGCACTTGGTCCCCAGCTAGTGGTGCTGTTTGGGAAGTTGTTGAACCTTCAGTAATTAAGGCCTTGCTAGAGGAGGGCCTTAAGTGTTAGAGCCTAGCCTATTTCCTGTTCAGTTTCTATTTCCTGATCTATTGAGATCTAAGCAAGCCGTCCCATATTCCTACCACCATACCTTCCCTGTCATGATGGACTGTACCCTCAGTGCATGAGCCAGGGTAAGTCTTTTCACCCTGAAGTTGCTTATATTAGGTATTCTCTGCCAACAGTGACAAAGGATGTTGCTGGTACCACTCCCAACCCCATCTCCCTTCACCAGTACCCAAACCACCCTTCTTTCCTTCATGAAATGCCACCTTCCCAGGTTTGGTTGCTCCCCTGGGGCAAATGATAAATGAGAGGCTCTAGGAGAGTCAGGGCTCCTAGAAGGACAGTTTCAAATCCTTTTCCTGGCCCCCTCCTCTTGATTGTCTCTCATGGTGACCCCAAGCTTCCTGGCTTTGGTTATTGATGATTTACTGGCCCATGTCTGTTACGTAAATGTGCGTGTTGTACATGTGTTCATAAAGGCCAGAGGTTAACCCTAGGTGTCATTCTTTGGGCCTTGTCTACTTTTTACAATTTATTTTTATTTTATTTTATGTATATAAGTGTTTGGCCTGCATGTATGTATGTGCATGCAGTGCCTGTGGAGGCCAGAAAGGATGTCAGATTCTCTGGAACTGCAGTTACCTATAGTTGTTAGCTGCTATGTGAGTGCTATGAACCAAACCTAGGTCCTCTGCAAGGACAGCCAGTGCTCTTAACTGCTGACCATCTCTCCGGCCCTACCCCCCTCCTATGGTCCACATGTTTTTTGTTTTTGAGGCAGGGACTCTTCACTGGCCTGGAACTCACTAAGTAGGCTAGGCTATCTTGTCAGCAATCCCTCAGGCATCTGCCTGTCTCTACCTTCCCAGTATGAGGATTACAAGTGTGTGCCATTATGCCTGACTTTTTTATGTGGTTTCTAGGGTTCCAAATCAGGTCCTCATGCGTGCGTGGCAAGCAGTTTATCAACTGAGCTATCTCCCTAGCCCTAGTTGGTATTTAAATACATGATGATCATTTATAGAGATCAAGAAACAATTGCTAAAAATGCTTCAATTCCAACGTGAACTTCCCATCTGAAGTTGAGAAGCCTATACTTCATCTGGAGATGATCAGAATGGCACAGGGTCCATTCCTGATAATGGGTACATGGTTGGGCTACAGCTGGAATGGTGGTGGCAATGTGGTATCCAACTCAGGAGACCTCAAAGAGATAAAGGGAATACTGAAAAGAGGGGTGAAAAAACCGCAGAGAACCAGAGGCTGACAGAGTGCCTTCTTGATTCCTAATCGGATAAAGTTTCATTACACAGTCATGTGTTGTTTAAAAATAGGGTCAACATGGAGGAATCATTTTCTCCATGCTTCCAAGAGAAGCCAACAATGGTCAAGCAGGACCTTTGACTTATCTTCACATAGATGGAATTGGTAAAAGAAAGGAGCCAGGGG